ATAATAATAATAATAATAATAGTAATAATAATAATAAAAAGGGGCTCAAATAATAATAAAGACAATAATTAATAATACCAATAATCCACAATCAAACGGGGTATTACAATTATGTTCAGAGTCTATATGAGCATGAGATCAGTTTTGGAAGGATTTATACATGCTTAACTCGGTTAGGTTTGACGGAAGTTTTTCGGAATTGTTGAAGCATTATATGATTATGTTCGGTGTGGAGCCTTTTTATGCAGTTTAATGGTTGAAGTGTGCTTTACTTGCTTATGTGGCCTAATCAACCCAATCTAAAACCTTAATAATAATTAAATCCCTAATTTGTAGATTAAGAGAAGTCGAACCCTCGCCCTTGTTTGATCGTGCGTTCACCATCATCCTCTGCAGTACCAGGTGGGTTTTGAAAAATTGGCTATGCTTTAAATGTTATTACTGTTATTATTATTTTACTTGGTATGATCAAAGTATGCATGTGGAACATGTAGCCTTCGATGTGAGCTGTATCGGCCGTCGAATGGGTATCTCCGTAAATATAGAACGACCCCGATGGGGTAATCTCCTCTTTATGTCCTTGCGAAGGACACGTCGATTGAGACCAGGGCTATGCTCGGTCAGCGATAAGTACCCCGATGTAAGTCTGATGGCTAAGCCGGGCCTTCGGGGAGACTCCTACTGGCTGGACACTCGTTGTAAGACCAGAAGGCCGAGGGCCGTGGCTTTCGATATATAGTCGGCAGTAGTCTATTGATATAAGTGTGCACATGAGAACGAACTTGGGATAGGAGGTTGTGATAACTAATTAGTTACGTATACATGTTGCGACTATACTTGTTTTATTTATGATTAATGTTTATTGCATAGTGGTGAGCACCACAGATTCCAATTGTGCTCATCCCCACCTGCTCTTCATGGATGCATGTTAGTATTGCGGGCACGACGGAGGGATGCGAGTGGTGGTCATATCATTGATATTGCTTCTACCTATCTGAATTGATTATTGTAATTATTGCTATGTATGAATATTGGATTATTGAAGATTGAACTTATGAATTAATGTTAAGGAGTTGCTCCTTAGTTACTATTGATGATTGATGATATTATTGATGAACCCATTCGGGAGCTAAAAGTTTATGATTGAGAATATTGTTTAATTTTGATAATGGTTTTGAAAATGAGTTGCGCCTCAAGTGTTTTTAGAAAATAAATTTGAAAAATTTATTTTGAAATTTGGCAAATAAAAGTGGGGCGTTACAGTTTGATATCAGAGCCAGTCTGCGTTTCTGTAGACTGGTTAATGTGAATTATGAGATTATGTGCTTAGACCTTAAGTTATGACCACTCGCTCTCGTCGTGTCGCGCCAGCTCAGGTACGAGTACCTGAATGATTTTGAGATTATTGTGCATTGTTTGAATGTTGATTATTGAAGTGAAATCGGGGCTTAGAATTTATCCTCCTGCGTTTAAACATTCTTTAACTCTAGACGAGTGGCGAACTTAGTTGTATGAACTTGAACTCTAGTGGTATAGAGTTAAGTTCTTTCTTTAGAAGTATTGGTTGAGATTTCGATATAATGGTTGAATCTTTCCCTGTTTAAATTCGTTCATTCTTTTCATTGGTGGGATTTGAAAATCCGTTGGTCGGGTATATAATGATTCGTATACTCATTCTATGCGTTGGTTGTTTTTCTTAACTTCATCGTGGATATCCAGGAAGAGCTTGAACCGATGATGGAGGCAGCGAATCGTGGACTTGTAGATGCGAGGCAGTCTTGTTTTATTTTTGAATTCTGGTCTTCTTGTAGAGTTCTGCAAACCTTTGCTTTTTGTATGGCAAGCAATTTTGAATTGTGCTTGAAGCTTCTTTCGTTATCCAATTTTTGTGTTTTGAGAATTTCGCTTGAACTTCTCCTTTCGGGCGTGGAACTTCAGATGGAGTGATTTGACGCGTGTCAGGAAGTGTGTTCTTTCCACCTTAAAAGATTATGCATAAATCTCTTAAGGAGGATAGTCGAGTCCGGAACAAACACATCGTGAAGTGCAGAGCCACCTTCACTTTTGATGTTCATTCATTGTATCTTTAGAAGCTCATTTAAGACTGTCAACACGGTTAGCTGCTTCAATCGAGAGCTGACGTGACGGACGATACAGTTAGTCAAAAGAGTCGAATGAGCTAAGCGTTCATTATTCAGTAGTGACCGCTGGGATTGGAATTGTTCTTGGTTGAGGAACTGATCCTCGTTTCTTTTGGGAAGTTCTTCCCGACCCCATATCGTAGGTTGTTCAGTGGCTATTGTTTTGTTTTGATAAGAGAAGGAAGTAGACTTAGAACTCGAACATGCCCCTTAGATATTTGAGAATTTAGAAACCTTTGAAATTGTGAAACGACTGAATTATATATATTGGGCCCAAAATTCTCGTTAATTGGTAAAACCATCTCTTTTTGTGACGTGAGATTGAAACCTTCTTGTGAAACCTTGAACCAAACGCAGACTCTGGCTGGGTGTAGCTACGCGAAGTGGTGGCCGAGCACGCACGATCATGCTGAGAGACGGGAGGCTTACGTGCGACCGACCGTTGACTCGCATGCGAACTGCAGCTGCATCACCATACACACGAACTCCCCAGGCTGGCGTATACGGCCGACCATCGATTTTTTTCCTGAGCTGTTGAAACTGTTTCATGCTGGAATACTTGGTTATCTTTTGAACCCGTTTCGTCCGAACCTTGAACCCAGAGCTCCAAGTCCCACTAGATGAGTGTAAATCCTTAATCGATGATTTTTGATTAAGGAGAGTAGTCAATGAGTCCCTATGCCTTATTTGAGAGTTCCTCGAGTGGGCAAATTGGGAATGTCGTATTGCTATTGGTCAATCCTTATGGTTGCACATAAGGGTTGCGTTCGATTCGTGGAGTCAATATGTTGCAAGTATGAGCATGATAGTGTCGTGGTGTATGTGTGTGGTATCATGTCGTAGTCTCTGATGGAGACACATGGTCCATGATAGTATCGTGGGCAAGTTATCATTATAACCCGGACACGAGTCTGAAACTTGGCATCTCGTGTCCATCTTGTTGGTGAGATAATCAGAGTACGCTGGCAATACACCGAACGACTTGTTGAGGTCATGTGTGTTGTTAAGTACGAAGTTAATTGTTGATACTCATGAGTATAGGCCAAGCCGAACTGGGTCCCTTGCAAGAAGATGTGCGCCAGAGCTCGGGCAGGACTTATCACCCTCCCAGGCAAGAAGGTAAACATATGAGCATAGAGCGAGTCAGATTGAGTCCTGTATGTGAGTGTATGCTTTTCGAGTTTAGGGCGATAGGACTCATGTGAGCGGAAATCGGGTTCCAGAGGAGATACCCAGATCTCATGATTGAAAAATTTCCCGTTTGAGTCTGTCGTTTTCCTTTAGATGCGTGTTCTTTCATATTTCCGAGGACAGAAATAGTTTAAGGAGGATAGATTGTAACGCCTCGTTCGATTTATAGAATTTCTCGAAATAATTTATTTATCGAATAATATTTATAAAGGATTATTGGAATTCATTATTTATTATCTTTATTATTATTATTATTATTATTATTATTATTATTATTATTATTATTATTATTATTATTATTATTATTATTATTATCATCATCATTATTATTATTATTATTATTATTATTATTATTATTATTATTCGCCTTGCTTTTATTTTAGTCGTAGTGCTCGACATTTTTTTCCTGTCAAGCTTATTAAAATTAAATAGATGTCCTCGTCTGTTTAATTTTTCTAATTAATTCACCTAATCGAAAAATCGAGATTTAAGTGGATGTCCTCGTCTTCTTATTTGTTCTTTTATGCTTTTGTTTTATTTATTTGTCCAATTTTGTGCCTAAATTTTTGGTAGCCAAATTATGTGTCTAAGTGTGTTGTGCTTAATTGTATTATGTGTTTAACTTGAGTATTTTGCCTAAGTGTACTAAGTACACTAAATTTCGACCCAATTACAGTCACTTTGTCTTAACCCAACACCCAACCAGTTGGGCTCAACACTTTCCATTTTGGCCCAAAGAGTTGCTAAAGTAGCAGGCTTAACGTTTTTCCACCAACTTCTCAGCTTATCTCTCTCCCCGATAGCTCCCTCTCGTTTTGAGCAGAAAAAGAACGAGTCATGGCTAATTGAACTTCCCCTCCCTTTTCGGCCATCAATTCGCCATCAACAGCGACCATGACGCCCGAACTCCTTGGGATCCGGCTCGCTCATACCTAATTCTCCCGTTACTTAAACCCGCACGGTTCTCCAATCGTCTTAAAACCTAATTTTCCCAAATTCTCTCATCCCAGCAGATTTCGATCGAGCAGCAAATACCAACCACAGTTGACCGGAGATCTCGTCGTCTGAAGACCAGAAGCCACCGTGTAAGGAGCAGTTCGACCCTCGAACATTCGCGAGGAGCCATCTTAGCCCTTCACCCTCGAAAAACGAGCAGCGACGGCGAGGATATGCACCGTCCACGGGCCTTCACGCCGGACAAGAGACAAGCAGTGGGTTGCAGCGGCAGGTCCTATGCGTTCGATTCCCGCTGGTGACTTCGTGCAATCCCTCGCCGTCGGCAACGCCAAATGCATATCGATTAGCCGACATTTTCTTTTCTTGGTACGAGTGAAAACAAGAAACGACAACGGTCCTCGAGACCTTCTTTTTCAAAGAACAGCGGCCGATTCGTTTCCGACAGGCAGCGGTGGCCCTTTGTCCAGACGGGTTTTTGCAGACGTTTGTAGTAGCCGAAGTCCCGACAACACCATTTCTTCAGTCAAGTTGAATAACATTGCACCCCGTTCATCCATTTTTGAATCAGCCGTCGGCCCGTGTTCTAGTCGAGGGCAGCGGCGTTCGTTCACGAGCGACTGAGAGCACCCCGAGCCAACCCAGCCGTGAAACGAGAGAAGCAGCCATTCGAGGCTTTTATCGAGCAGCCGGGGTCCTCGCTCATTAACATTGATTATTAGTAATTCCATTTTCCATTAAACGAGTGGTGGTCGGTTCCCTTCGAAACACTTTTGAACAGCCCGTACTTGCGAGAAGAGAACCTGCCCGGTTCCTATATCTCGTGTAGTCCAAGAGAGGTGAACCATTTCTTTTCCCTTTTTATTTCTTGGAGTTATGTGAAACTGGACCCTTATTGCGTTCTAAGTGAAAATTCAGACCTTGGATTTCGAGGCTGTTTAATGTGAGGGTTGGTCGTGTGTACTCTGTTTCTACTGAGCTTTATATTGATGTAAAGCAGTTAATGTAATCGCCCGTTATGTTATTAATGTAAATTACGCGTTTAGTTATGAAATATTTATTTTATCGATCATTATCGTTCGGAACTAATTATCCAAATCAAGAATGTTCGAATAAATTATCGAAGCCACGTTTATGTTCGGATTAATTTCTACGTAATTAATTTCATTGATCATGCACTATGTTTAAGAGAAAGATTCTCATTGTGAACGTCTTTAATGAGATAAGTGGCTAGGCTTATCTTAGCAATGATCATGGTTAATTAGCATTTAAGCCATGCTTGGTCTATTCCTAATTGCCGAGAATGTTGGGACAATTGTCACGTGAAGTATCATCATAATACTAGTACATGTGGCCTTTCCTTAGCTTCTCATTTAATGACTAAGCATGCAAAGTGATGACTAGGCTAGCTAAGGCCACCTAAGCCCTTCTAAGCACGACAAATGGTGAGAGTTGATTGGCTAAGCCAATCCTTTTAATTTTTCACCCAATTTTTACTAGCTTTCGTCCGCTATTTATATGTAAGGTTAGAGTAAAAATTGAGCATAAACATAAGTAATTCACTAAGCCAGAGTTTAAGAGCTAAGTCAGTTTAAGGGTACTGCACGCATGGAGAGGGGAGGAGAAGAGTACACGCACGCACGTAAAGCTTCGTACGGTCACGAGAAATCGCACGCAAATTGCCCGAGCGTTTGAAGGGTAACTTCGACTTAATCCTCCCTTAATGTTAATAGGATCATGTTAAGCTTGTTAGGTTCATATCATGTCATTTGATCCTTGTAAACGCTAAGTTAAGCTAGGTTTAAGGCACTTTAAGCCAAGTCCGAACCATGTTCAATCCTATCCGTCATCTCTTGAGCAATTTATGTCTGTTCGTTAATATATGTCACTTCATGATAAGTTATATAAGGGTGGTCGAGGAAAAATTATCGTTTGGCCGAGGATTGGCCAAGCCGTGAGCTACGCCTATAGCGCACGCCACGGCCATGACGTCTCATTGTTCATGCTAAGCTAGGTTCATGAGTTTCTGGTTGAGTTATGTGTATTTATTTAGGATATGTTACGTCATGTTAATTCAAGTTATATTGGTTGGAGCATGACGCTGGACAGCCGGTAAGGATCGGCCGTGGTTGCCGTAACCACACGTAGAGGGGAGTGCACACCGGCAGTCAGACGTGTACGCGGGTGACGTGTGTGCATGTCAGTTGGGTGTCGCACATAACCCTGCCTGCGGTAGTCAGCGACTGGCCAGTGCCTAGCGTACACCAGTCTACCCGAGCGCACGCCAATGCGCGTATCTTCATGTCAGTCGGCTTCAGGTAGTGCCCAACAGCATGCCCGAGTGCCAGGTGCCGCCAGGGTCGCAAGGCCAGCGCCCGCGCGGTACACGGTCACGCCAGTCAGCGTGATACGGAAGTGGAGATCAGCGCCAGCAAGCTTGGAGATCTAAAAAGCGAATGGCGCGTCTCGTGCCTTGATGCGCGCGAGAGGGTGGGGCACACGCGGGTGATGACGGGTGCATGCGATTTTGCAATAGAGGATTGGAGCGCTGACGTTGACGGGACGCGCTGGGAGTTACGCGAAGAAGAGACGGGGCGCGTTGGGCGCGCAAGTGGAAGCAACGCGGGCGGAGTCCGAGACCGAGTGGGCATAGGAGTAAGGGACGGCGGCAAGCACGCGCGCGAGGAATTCGGACGGGGAGAGAAGCACGCGATGGCATGCGAGTGGACCGCATACACAGGCGCATGCCTAAGCGCGGTAGGCATAGGCGAAGGGGGGTGATGCGGACACGGCGAGTCGTGTGTGGCATGCGCGAAGGAGGCTAAGTCGTCGTGCCGAAGAGGCGCGATACGCGAATGGGCAAGCGCGCGCGGAAGATGACGCGCTCGATATTATCGGGGCCGAGCGCGGGATTGAACGCGCAAACGACGGGATGCACGCGCGAACTTGCCTACGCGCGCGAGGATTAGGCGAACTGCTAGACGCACGCGCAGGAATGGAAGATAAAGCCCTAGTCGTTGGGCGATTAGGCGACGCGGGGCAGGGCGGCTTAAAACGCAAGCAAGATATATTCTAAATAGCTTGGTTAATATTTTATTTTCTTGTTTTCTAGTTTGTTTAGGACACTTAATATTTTATTGCTTTATTAGAGTTATAGTTATATTAGGATTAGATCTAGTTGATGCCT